TCCACCAATCCTGATGCCACAATTCTCTTCATAGAGCCCAACCTCCTGGATAATCTGCTCTGCATACACCAAAATAGTAACATCCAATATATTGCTAATTTTCTTTTCACTGCCTTTTTTACCGCTTTTCTGCATTTTAAAGTTTTAACCTGAAACTAAACCTACTCCCAAGAATAACCCTTTCAACTATACAGTTAGGCCTATAAAGTGAACTGTAACAAATGAGAGATAAATATTCCTTAGCACAGTCAACCATACAGATTAAAATGGCAACACATGACCCAAAATAAAACTCAGCAGACAGAAAGGGGTAGGAAAGGACAAATGGAAATGGGGAACCCAAGGAGTAAGTGGGAAATAGTGCTGTCACACTGAGGAGACTATAACTAATGACACAAAAGAAAACTGTATAAATTGTTGGCTAGAAAATGAATTTGTTCTGTAAACTTTATACAAACATAAAAAGAAGTCTATAATAAAGATTTTATTTCACTTTAAAACTTTATATTATTATTTGGGAGAAAGTTTACAGAGCAAATTAGTTTTAATTCAACAATCCACATGTATTTTCTTCCTGACAGTGAACCCCACAATATAATTATATTCTCTCCATGTTTTAATAAATGGTGACTTTTAGGTCTTCTATTTAAAGGCTTAGGGTAATGGTTTCATATGACATCCCAGTTAACTGGGTGTTAAACCAGTGTGTTTTATGCTTCTGTTCTACCTCCTGGATCCTTGCTTAATATCTGTGGTCTTCAAACTTGCAAATAATCATATAAGACAGGACAAGTGGTCTATATTTGCAAGAAGCAACATATAGATGAAGGTGGTTCAGGAATAAGAGGAAGATATGCAATATATAGAGAACACAGGTGCCTCCTTTGTCATGAACTCAGAAGAAATGGTTGTTATCTAGTTACTATTACTAAGAATTTTGTTCACAATTCTGTGGAAGACTTCGGGGGTGGGGGGTGGGAGGAATACCAGAACAGAATTTTAAATTCTCATGGACCCTGGAACTTTCTAAAGTTACAAGGCAGTCAGTGAAAACTAGAAAAAATATCTGGCTTGAGCATCATGCTTTTTAAAGAACAATTTATGAGACCAGAGATATATCATCAACCTGAAAGATCAGATAGAAACCTTATGGGGCAATGGTTTCCATTACTGAAAAAGCAACAACTTAGAAAGGGAAGGTGAAAATGGGTGTACAAGTCAAAGACTATAATCCATGTCACTGAATTACACATGTAAAAATGAGTTAATTGGTGTTAGGTTTTGCTGTATAGTTTCTCAACTACAAAGTAAATATAAAACTAAATTAATGAAATGCTAAACCTATGCATTTGTATCTGAATGTTCCTTAGGCAGGTAGGATTTCATCGATATTGCAAGACTTACTTACGTTTTTAAAAATATCCTTTGCTAGACCCTGCATTATTAATTCCTACTTAACAATTTATATCTTAACAAATTCCTAGATCTCAATTATACTACTTAGTATTTGATACCTGACACATGATTCTACTTAGTATTTCTGATACAAGTGATTCTACTAAGGAATAAAACAGTATGTTTTATTTCCTATCAGTCATAAAAGGATCAGGAATTAACCCACATTATTTCCCTTTTTGTAGGATAGAATTTTCAGTGAGATTGAATACTGCTATTTTTCTAATTTTCACGAATCTTTTCAATATTGAAAAGCTCCAGAGGCAGCTGAATGTAATGTTCTTTTATATCTACACACATAACTGCAAAAAACACACAAAGTAAAATGTGAACAACACTACCACCAGTGAGTGGTAGTATAGAAAGTAAATCAATCCCTAATTATTATGACAGCTGAATTCAGTGAAAGTGTTTCTTATCATTAGCCCATTCAATAGGCCTCATGTTTGTACCTAGAAATCACAGGCTCCAATATCAGAGTCAACTCCACTTATCAAAGGAGCCCTTGAAGTACAACTCTAGGCAGCTAACTAAAAGATCAGTGGTTCAAATACACCAGCAGTTCCAAGGGAGAAAGACTTCCAACCACCAGTCCCTGGAAAGATTACAAACTAGGAAACTACAAAGGGTGGATCTATTATTCAGTCCTATAGTTGCTATAAGTTAAAACTGACTTGAAGATACACAATAACAACTGCTCCTTCAGAGAAGCTTCATCTTTTGATTTGGAGCATTTATCAATCTCACAGGTTTTATTTAAGAAATTAATTTTTACCTTTTTTCCTCATTTGAAAGCATATTTGATTAATCTCTGTAGACATTTATCAATCCTTAAGGAATCTGAAAGTTTCCTTATTTAGTTCTTAAATAAATGTTATATAAGATATATTTCTGTATACCCCAGATTCATCAAAAATTGGTATGCTTCAACTACTGCATGAAATTGTAATACAAATGTAATCAATCATAAAATCTTCATTTGGCATCAAGAACACTGCTCAATAGTATTTCTGTGAAATTTAGCTAACCATATAAAGGCTGCTAGAGTGTTTGAACCACTGCCCTTCCAGTCAGCTACCAAATGCTATCCTACAAGGCCATACTGTGACATGTTGTCAAAATGTCACTGTCATTCTTGATCTGTATGATGAACACCTTAATTTTAATCTCACTACCATCAAGCAGAACGAACTCATCCGTGACCATCTCTGGGTTTTCTGAGCCTATAAAAGCATATAGAGTACCCATCTTTCTCTAGCAGAGTAAGTGGTGAATCTGAATCACCAAGGAGGTGCCGCCTTTTGGTGAGCAGTAGAAACCTATACCACCTATACCACCACCACCACCACCACCACCACCACCACTGTAATCTTACATCATTTTTAGAATACAGTGTCCAATTCTGAAAACATAGATTTTTATAAAGGATATGGATAAACTGCAAATTATCTAACAAAAAAACCAAAACAAAAATGTCAAACAATAAAAAAAGGAAGATATAGGGGAGCTCTGGTGGCCTAGTGGCAAGGAGCTGCAACTATAATCCCAGAGGCGAACGATTCGAATCCACCAGATGCTCTGCCGGGGAAGGAGGGACAATCTCCTCCTGTACCAGTCAGATCTGATTTGACGGTACACGCACACATAAATAATTAAAAAAAAAAAAAGGAAGATATAAAAAAACAAGGAAATATCCTGGAGTAGAAGGGAGGGAGAAATCATATTCAGGTATCTCATGTTTCTGTAACACTGTTTTGCTTTGTGTTGGTCTAAAAAGGGGAAGAACAGGGAGGAGTTTCAGGAGCATTTAGACTAAACTGGAAGTGTAATTAAAAAAATACCAAACAGTAGCTCACAGAATGGTTTAAATTATAAAGTATTTTTGAATCTAAAGATAAATAGCATAATAATGAGGCAAAGATGCTACCAAAAGAATTCTGTTATGGAGTAAACACATTCCTTTCAAATAAAATGGTCTACAGCTGTATTTCTAAAACTAATGCCCACATGAATTACCTGAGATCTTGTTAACTGAAGAATTTGATTCAGTCCCCCTAGGAAAAAATCCAAGATTCTGTATGCCTATGCTGTTGGCCTCAGGATCAAACTTTAAATAGTATGGGCCTACATTTATCCAGAGTGCTGATGGCTTAGGTAAGGAGATGCACTGTCAACTCTAAAGACTGTGATTTGAATCCATCAGCTATTCTACAGGATAAAGATGGTTAATTTCCCACCACGTGATTTACTGCTTTTGAAAACCAGCTAGAGGGTGAGCAATGAGTTGGTTCCAACTTGATGGTACATCCCAAGATGAGTAACACTTATCAAACGGAGCGAAAGTTGTAATAAAATTTTTAAATAAATACCCCACATAAAGTGGGGGGAAATGGATGACACCAAATCGTAATGTTAGAGGAATAATACAATTTAAGTCTTAAAAACAGAATATAATGAAAACTGAAATTATATAGAAAAATAACTTACTGTGGCTGGTAAAGAAAGAGGTCAATAATGTTATCTCGGCCTTTGGGGTGGTTGAAGAAAACAAACAGAGACCAGTGAATGAGCCATGTTCGCTGCTGAAGAGACTGGAGTGGAGAACTCACAGACTGTTAAAAAAAACAACCCAACAAATTATATACACACACATATATACATATAAAAGAATTATGAGTATAGAAGAAGGGAATAAACTTGGTCAGTTTCAGGATTTTAATGCAAAAACATTAGCACCTTCTAAAGCACTAACCATGATAGCTGAAGTCTGCTTTTCTATACTTCCTACTCTGCATATTCTCCCTTGTTCACAATCTTTAATCTCTGAAACCGATTCCATAATCTCAGAAACAGATTCCCTATGGTTTGTCAAACCATTCTCAGAAAGGCTGAAAATGACATTCATGGGAGAGAACATAGACTGAACTACACTAAACAGTTTTATTAGACTTTAATTAATAATGAAAATGGTCAACTATATACATATAAAACCACTGTCATCAAGTTAACTCCAACTCCAGGGACCTTACAGGAAAGGAAAGAACTGTTTCAAAGGCTTCCCAACGGAAAGAATTCTTTTGTTGTTGTGTACCATGGATTCAGATCCCACTAGCACAAGAGAATGTCCCAATGGAGCATCTGGTGGATTTGAACCACGTGCCTTCGTGATTGCAGCGCAGCTTCTTGCCACCAGGCCACCAAAGCTCCCTTCAAGAAATAATTCTTTACGAAAGCAGACTACAATTATTTCTCCTGTAGTGTGGCTACTGAGTTCAAATCAATAACCTTTTGATTAGCAGCCAAGCATTTAATTGCTACATCAAAAAACTCAATGTCATTCTTTCTCTCATAGAACAGCTGGCTGACTGGGTGGTGTAGGCAATCTCCACTGACTACACTATCAGAGCTCCGTTCATCTTCTGCTAGGAAAATCAAATGTTATCTGGACCTGACAGTACTGTGTCCCTTTCATGGGCATTAAAAAAAGAAAGCTGTTAAGTGAAATTATCATCAGCTTCTTTTCTCTAAGAACCAAAATTTTCAAAGTTCCCATCAAAAGAGATTTAGTAAAACTAGTCAATCCACCACTATATGTTAGGGTCAACACATGTTAATCAACTATTTAAGTGCACAGTGTTTACCTTATCAGAAATTATCAAGGGTACATAAAATTAGTAGGAAGACGACAAATAATAAATCACACCAGTGTAACTCACGTTATTATCTATTGTCTCTTTTAATCGTGTAAGGTCTTCCATGGCTGCATCCCAATTCTGCATTAAGATTTCAGAGGCCAGTTTTCCCCAAAGTG